TTACATTATAATAGGAGAACTGAAGTGAATGTGAGATTGGATTAGAGAAATAAAAGAGATAAACATGTGATGAGTTACATTATAATAGGAGAACTGAAGTGAATGTGAGATTGGATTAGAGAAATAAAAGAGATAACCATGTGATGAGTTACATTATAATAGGAGAACTGAAGTGAATGTGAGATTGGATTAGAGAAATAAAAGAGATAAACATGTGATGAGTTACATTATAATAGGAGAACTGAAGTGAATGTGAGATTGGATTAGAGAAATAAAAGAGATAAACACGTAAGAAGAGTAGTATTACGTACTTAAATCTCAAGGCTAATTTTCATATTTATTTAAACTCGTATTACTTCCTTGCAGGCTAACTGGACTCCTTTGATGATAGCTGCCTCCAGTGGGCGATCAGACATTGTGTCTGCCTTGATTGGCCGAGGGGCTTTAGTAAATGCTGTGAATCAAACAGGTCAATCTTCCCTTCATTATGCTGCCTCAAAAGATCATTATAATGTAAGTACAGATCATGTCTTTCACACTTATTGTAACTTTCATTTTAATGTAGGTATACATTTTTTTAAAGATGAAACTGATCATAAGGTATATGTTCTGAGATACTGGAGAATCGTTATTAGAGCAAAAATAATAAAAATTGCTTTTTCGACATTATACATGGATTGAAAATAGGACAGAACTCTTGCCTATCTTTCAGCAATGTGGAAGTTAAAAGTTTTACAGGTATTTAACCCTGGTTGCAAGTAGTAGGAAATGTCAAATTTACATACACAAATTTAAAACTGCCATTTTAAAAATGTCACTGAAAACTGTTTCTAAAGTTGTTTTTATTTTTGTAAGAACTATGTAGATACAGATGTGTGTATTTTACTTTATGCAACTTTTCTAGTGTATTTTAAGTAATGTGAAAAAACCTTTCCAAATTCTGAAATATGTATTTTTTTCTTTTTTACTCTTTAACATGCAGCCTTCAAGGTCTAACCTGTACTTTATTTTTACAATGAAGTAGCATACCTTTCTAAATCAGGCAAATTCATTTGGATTTTGGAGCTTGTGCAAAACAAAACCATTGGGTTCAACATGTTTCAATTTTTCCTGTTGCTCAGATTTCTTTGTAGCCTCTTTCAAAGTTTTTTTGGTAAGTCAAATGACCAGGGCAGAAAAAGGGTTTGTTCTGGGGATTTCATACACTTATTAGTACAAATTTTTAGGATTCTATCACCCTCTTTCCTATGATCATTCATTACTGTATGTTACACCTTCCCTATTTTTTTCTCAGTTGCAAAGATTGCTCATTAACTAATTAAGGATATGTTTCTTTAGTTCAAACAACCCACTCTAGGACACCCATTATGATTATAGTATTTGAATGCCTTTTCATCCTTAATTTCAGACATGGGATACCAATAGAACTTTAGGAGTCACTTGTCTACCAAATTTTATCAGAAGGGGATTCCATGGGTATCATTTTGTGCATTTTGTTTCCCAGTGATCAGTATTATTTTACTTGCATGTATTTCATAGTAACTATATATGTATGGCAGGGTCAAAATGTCATGACCTCTTTTACAGAGTTACATTCAAAATTTAATTAAATAACTTTATCGTCAATATATGTTGATAAAAATATGTTGTAAGTTCTTAAATTCAAAAGGAAATATTTAAATAAATTTACAATCTTCACTTCTCTGTATCACATGATAGTTCTTCCCTCTGAACTGCCCAACTTATATTTTCTTTCTACCCATACATGATGTTCTGAGTTAGGCACAAATTAGATACCTATAATATAAATTTACAGCTTAAAAGCTTCTTGCTTTACTGAGGTATAAACAAGGAAGTCAAACCCACATGCCATTCCTCTCTTATAACATTGTCTTTCAACAAATGTCAGTAATTCTTTCTTATATATGCTGTTGGATTATTTCTAACCAATAGCAAGAGAAAATTCTAATTTATTAAGTGTTGATGAGGCTAGCTTGTTCATATGACAGGTTTTGAAAAAATTTGGCCTTAGTTTTATTGTTTACATTTGTTGGAGTTCAATACATGAATGTTTTTTAACCCATTTATAGCTTAGTTAGAATGCCAGTTAAATTATATTTGTTTTAGAACATTCTATTTTTTGCAGTTTGGTGATATTTTGTGCTGTAAATTGCATATTTGAAATAGATAAAAATTTTGTAAGTACCACCATCATTGTTACAAAAAAAATAGATTTAAGTTCCTTTGTCTACTTCCTTCTGACAGCAAAAATACAAGGGGCTAGACATGAGTTGTATTAGATTTCTTGTTTTTCATGTATATATATTTTTTTATTCTTATAAAAGTAACTAAAATGTAAAAAATTAGAAACTTGTTAGATTAGAAAAGTTAAAGAAAAACAATTCACCAATAGGCATGAAAGCTAGCTGCTTACCATCATCTGTAATGTAACTCAATACTTCATTTACTCACTGGGTAATTTATTGCTTTGTTTTGCTAGTTAGACATTGTTTAAAGAGCAATAAGATGATAAAATTAAGTGAAAACAGTTGTAAATTGTTATGAGCAAGGTTTGATAAATAATTGTAATTGTGTGTTGCAATCTGTGTACATTCTAGAAAAAAAATCTAGTTTTGATTTTATATTATTAGTGTTTTGGTAGAGAAAATACAAAGATAAAGATTTACCAAAATAAAAAGCTTTTATATTCATGAAATATGAGAACTGTAAGATGAAAAAACAGTCTTGTTATTTTTAATATGAAAATTATCTTTCACTCAGATTAGTCAGCATCTGAGTCAGACTAAATTATTAAATTCATAGACAACTCTTTAGTAGAAATATTTTACTAACAATTCAGATTTTTTCTGTGTACAACATACTTGTAATGTTTATTAAAGCTTTCACAATTTTTGTGAAGATCCACTTAGCCTAGAGTAGTGGACTGGAACATACCTTAGGATTACTGATAAAGACAGTACTGCTTAAGCCTAGAGTAGTAGACTGAAACATGCCCCAGGTCTACTGATAATGACAGTACTGCTTAAGCCTAGATTGGTGGGTTGAAACATACTACAGGATTACTTATATGGGTAGTAGTCCTTGAAGTAATTAATCTAATACAGAGGAGTATGATGAAACTTGACATTATTGAAAATAGTTCTACATTTAATTCTTAGTGTTCTAGTTAAGAGGAAGGGGCTGAAATGGAGCTTTTTTGGGACCAGAGGGGGACACTGGTATTCCTTGATTTCTTTTCCTTTTCACATTGGAAATACTTAACAAAATTGCATGAATCTTAGAACAAACTTATTATATAGTATGTAGTTTGAGCTTAAAGATTCATATACTTAGATTTAGTGCTTCTACCATATTTTGGTGTGAAATTTCCAATATTTTATTGAGAGAGACTGTCTTAAGGAAGCATTCATTACAAGTACCTCTTTTGGTTTGAGTTTTGTCTTTATTACAGAAATTTTTTTTTAAATTATCTTTATATATATATATATATATATATATATTGTGTGTGTGTGTGTGTTTATGTGTGTCGTAGAATTGCACACATAATTTTCAAAGTTTAATTTTATCTGATCTCACAGCAGAGTTTTTGGAAAATTCTCTGAACAGTTAAAATGTCTTAGCATAACTATATTTCATTAAGTAAAAAGAAAAATGTATGACATAAATTTTGTATCCTTTTTTTCTTAGCTTTATTTTTAGCATCTTAAATACAAAGAAGTGCATTTAGTTAAACTAATACAGAGGATTGAGTCTATTACTAAACTGATTTTGGGGACTCGACTAGTCATTACATTCCATGTCGCAGTGTCTGATCATGCTTTATCTGATGACTGTGCATCTTGACAATAGCTCTGCAGCATAGTTTTTATTGTAAAAGGCTTGCCACAAGAGTGAGGTTTGAGCACCTGTGGTCACACTTTTCCTCCACACAGGGGTTACTCTACTTTTTACCTACAGACTTTCTCTCCAGTTCTCTTCCCATCCTCCTCTCAGCTGCCCCCACCCTGTTTGTTAATACCATCTGATGCCATCTATCTAATCTACAGCATCTGGAGGAGGCAGTATTTGTCAACATTTCCTGGGAATATTTTTTGATTCCTTTCTCAGCTGTGCTCTGCCTTCTCCCATCCACCTTTGAGCTATGGAACTACTAGTCACCAGGATTTGCACCTATCCTACTCATACTGCAAGAAATGTTTTTCTTTTGGTGACCATGGCTTCATTGGGACAGCTTATCCCTCTGGGTTGCACACACATGTATCTCCTCCATTGGACCTTGTGCAATCAGTGGAACCACTCACAAGAACCTTTGACCTCAGTGGTTCACCTGTCCTCTCCTCTACTCAAGATTTATATTGGTGGCTGGACTGATCCCATATTACCTTCTATGTTCCATTACCTCCACCCATACTGGATCTGCACCTCTTCACCAATGCTTCCCTCTCTAGTTGGGAGCATCTCTGAATGACAGTTTCACATTAGGCACATGGACCCAGAATGAGTCCTCTCATCATATCAACACACTCAAACTTCTGGTAGTCTGTTAGGCATGCTACCATTTTTTACCACTTTTTGTGGATCATTTCATTATGATACATTCTGACAACTCCACAGTTTTTCATATATCAACTGCCAAGGAAGAACCTGATCCAGAACCCTTTGACTTCAAACCCTGGACCTTTTTGATTGGGTCAATTCTCAGTGGGTTCATTTCATTGCCTGTCATGTACCAGATGTTATGAACCTGGTTGTGGACCACCTCTCTAGGCCATACTGTGTTCTGCTCACAGATTGATCTCTTTAACCCCAGATTTACTGTTGGGTCTGCAGTCTGTTGGGGACTCCACTCATTGATTCCTTTGCCACCCCTTTCAATTCTGAGCTGTCTCTCTTTTGTTCTCCTGTTCCCCATCCCTTGGCCCTGGCTGTCAATGCTTTCAGCTAGGACTGGTCTCAACTTTTGCTTTAAGCTTACCCACCTCTCCATCTTTTACCTTGGGTCCTGGCTTTTATTTGAGACACTTCTTGTTGTGTCTTCTTGATGGCACTCCTCTGACTGACTTAACCTTGGTTCCCTCTTCTATGCTGCCTGACAATCCAACCAGAGCTTTCCCTGCCATACTTTTCCCTCTTGCTTCAATGTCACACATCACTGTTTTATCAAGGGATCTTATCTGTCCACCTTCTTGTTTGGGATTTATCTGGTCTCTCACCCATAGAACCAGGCTCTCCAATCATGTAGTTTTTCATTTCACATTATTGTTGCATTTCTATTTTGCTCACCTACCAGTGTAAGTGACATGTCTTTCACCATTGGTCCATCCTTTGTCACTTTCCTCCTGACCATCCTACTGTTGAACTTCTCTCCTCTTTCTTTGCCTTAGCTGTCTCCACCATTGCCAATTATTATACAGCCTTGTCCACAACATTTCACCTTTGTCAACACCACAGTTCTCTCCACCTTGTTCCACTCCTTCCTTCTACATAGACCCCCACTCCCTGGCTGGAAACTCAGTATTGTTTTGTTTGCTCTTATCCGTGAACTCTTTGAGCATTGGCAACTTGCACCTTATTCTGCCTTTTTCTCAAAACCTATTTCCTCTTTTTCTTCTTGCCTGTGGTCGCCATTATTCTGATATATATATATATGCTATTGTTTCTTTCTGTACCCTCTTCCATTGCTCTTTATTCTTATTTATCCTGATTGGTCCTTCCTCCCTAAGACTTTGGCTACTCGGGAAGGAGACTGCTCTTTCTCTCCTATTTCCATTCCTTCTATCTCTCACTTTTACAATTGATTGAACCCAGACAGACAGTTCATTGCTATTTATCTCATACCTTATACTTTTGACGCCCTCATCATTGACTCTTCATTCCATGGAATTTCTCTTCCTCCAGGGGCATTTCTCCTTATTCCCTTACATGTTAGGTCTGACTAAATCTTTGTTTATTCTATTCTTCATTGGGGATTGATTCTCACAGACTGTTCTACATTCTTCCCATCCAATTCCTCACCTCTTTCATTCTCTCACTGCTCATTTTCAACAGCCATTAGGCAAGTTTTTTCAGGTGTATCACCCACTATATTCACCATCTGACTGTCTCATCTCCCGAAGGTTACCACCTGCTTCCGCTATTCTACAATGCCTACCCACCACTTATAGACTGGTGAATACTTTTTCTTTTTCTACAGCATTCTGTTATAGGATCCCGCCAGGTGGCTGATGGTGCCTTCCAGAGTGTACTTATTTCCTAAAATTCTGCATCGAGCCAGGATAACAGAAAGTACTCATGCCATCCACCCTGGCTTCATATATGCACACTTTGAGATGGGGTATTCCACAAGACCTTGAAGTTATCCATATCATATATTTATATATCTGACTACTGCCCAATTCAGACCATAACTATTCCATGGATTATCATGGAAAAGCGAGCACCAGAGGGTGTTCTGCCGAATTCCTTGGCTCAAGCCTGCTGGCTTTTCAAAATAGGGATACTTGTTCAACTGTTGCACTGGCTCGAGTAAAATACCTTTCTGGCTGAACTACCAACAGGGATTTAGGCATTTTCTCCTGGTCTCCCCACTGCAAATTCCACCTTTACTCTCTGAGTGGAGCACAGGAAACCCTTGCCACTTACTAGTTCCTAACCACTGGGGTGGTGAACCATGGAGAATCCTCACTAGTTGGGACCTAACCGCTGGCGCTAGAACAAGGGATGCCAATCAGTGGGAAGTAGGGTAATGGTGGCACTGTCAGTGTAGCACAGGTCACCTCTCACATAGTTATACCAGGTTTGTTGCAAGATTGGAGATATATTGATTGGAGAAACAGTACAAGCCTGTCATGCAGTCATGGCAAAGAGCAGAACAAAATGAGATTTGAATTGATATGAAAGTTGACATGATTATGTGATTGATAGAGTAGTTTGTTGCATTATTAATTTTTAACTTTGCATTCTACTGCATTTGTTCTTTACTTTAATTTTTAGTCTTGTCACATGATATTAGGTTAACATTGGTGGGGTAAAATTACTCATAGTTTTATTACTAACAGTTCATGACAAGAGAAAAGGCAATAGCAAGGACATAAAATCAGAAAATTGAACTTGAAATACTAGTGAATAACTTTCTCATTTGATTTTTAAAGTCTGTGTTGAAAATAACATTTCTTTCAAAGTTTGATGGTATCAGATGAATAAAGGCAGCATACTGCAGAGGGTTCAAAGCATAATGAAGTGGTTAAGATAAAGAAGAAAAAAATAAATAACATTTTGGTAAAAGAATATTCATGGATAATTTATAAAGAGGAAAAGACTAAATGTTTTGTGAATTTTGTCTAGAATATTTTTACATTGCTGATGTGGGAAGTCCATTTTTCAAAGGTCTCGAAGAAGGTGATTGAAATTTCTTGAAAGAAACTGTTCTGTTTTATCATGACAAATCCAATCAGCTTGTGAAATGGAATAGTTTATTGTCTTTTGCTGTATACAGGGAAATATACTTTAAAATTAACAAAAAAGGTTAAAGCAGTTCTGAATTGTAAGATTTATTCTCAAGTTCAACTTTTCATTAAGAATTTAAGTAATTACCTTAAATGTAAAAACATGTTTTTGAAAAAAATAGCTCTCTTGCATATGTATAAATGTGTAACCATGTTGTTTGTGTTCAAGAATTAAAGAGGATGTACAATATACTCCATATAATCCATAAGCTATTCTTTGACATGGGGTACAAGACTGTGACTTCTATTTCCCCAAGATTTCAGTATTCTGAGAAGCACTTCAAAAAATGTTAAGAACAAAAGATACTTTGATGTAATGAATACATAATTTGTCACTTTCCACAACAAAAAATCATACATTAAGATGTTTGATATAGTAATAAATAAAAGTGCTTTTTACAATGGAAATAAACTATAAAAAATGTGCAGCTATAAATTAACTAAGTTGTGACAAAACCTTTACTCCAATAAAAGGTATGGATATGTAAGTTTCCAAAAAGTAACAACGCCTGTATACATGTACATGTAATATTCCCAATTCTATCTACAGTAAGTCTTCAGTTTTGCCAGAGATAAAACATAAAACTTAGATTTTTTTTAGAACTAATGTTTATCTTGAATTTTTAAAGTTATCATTTGATAACAGATATGGCATCCTTATATTATAAATTTGATATCATAATGTAAAGTTAGCTAAGATAAGTTACAATCAGAACAGTTCATTTCAGTGACTTAGGGTTAAAACCTGCTGTTTAATGCATATGCAAGTTAAAGTGATTTCTTTTTTTAAGTGAAGTAAGGTTTAAAATGCTTCATTTGTATATATTTTTATTGAAAAATGATAACAAGAATCATACAAAGTTACTGACAAAAAAAATCGTTTTAGTACAAAGAAGAACGCCACTCCATTTATGATTCCTCTAAAATAGGGGTTTGGATAAATAATTCTTTTTTTATATTATGAAATGTAGAAAGTATTCTTTATGTGTTTGATGAAATTGTAGGATTCTCCCATGTAGTTTTCAGTTTGTTTTATACATAATATTAAAATGCATCTGTGTTATAGCAAGAAGAAACATCTAAAAATCTAGTAAATCTAAATTTAGTAAACAGAGGAATTATTAAGAAATGTTATTAGAATAAAGCTTTTGGGTGAACGCTTTAACATGTTATATTTCCTTCAAAGCTGTCTAACTATGGGTTTGAGTACAAGTTTGCAATTCAACTAGATGATAATTTATTAGTATGTTGAGCAATTTAAGGACACTTGTACCTTTTAAAAATAAACCAATAAAAATCTTATTATCCTTGCTATGTTTATTGCACATATCACAGTTAAAGTGCAACTGACTTCTTTATTACAAATTGTTTCATCAGTTATTGTATCGAAAGTGTGCAGCTGTTGCTAATCTTAAGTATGAAATACTGGAGACTTGATGACAAAAGTTATGCTAATGTAATACTGTTTTAAAATAGTAATAACATTTATTATGAAATTGGATTTACATTCTAAAAGTCCTTATTACTAATGTGAATTATACAATTGTTACAAGTATTGTAAGGCATTATTAAAATTATTTTCTTGACAAGCTGATTAATTTCCTCTAGATTGCTAAAATGCTGTTGGACAACCATGCTGATATTAATGTTCGTGATCATATGGGAAGTACGCCTCTTCATAGAGCAGCATCCAAAGGAAATACACGCATTGTGAAGTTATTCATAACAGACTACAGCAACCAGCTAGATGTAAATCCTCGAGATTCTGTAGGCAACACACCATTGTAAGAATCTCTCTAATAATTTAGGGAACTTAGAAATGTGTTACTAGTAGCTTTCTTAAATTCATATTTTGGTTGTATAATAAGATAAGAAAGTGTATTCAAAACAAGTACAGTACAGTTTGGAAGATACCAAACAAATGTGTGTGTCTTGAAGCAGAACTTGATAAGCTGAGTATTCTGTAGTTAGAATTCACAGGAACGTATATACCTACAGCTCATGAAACAGCAAGGAAACCTATTTAGAGAAACATTTAACCATACAAGGGTTTATAACCAGTGCATAGAATTATGTCACAAAATATGTTTACTCTCTTTTTCTAAGCTGAGTAGCTTATTAGAAAATAAACCTACAATTGTAAATGTAGGTTTATCTTCTTTATGTCTGGTTTACATGTTTCCATTGTGCAAGACATGACTGCTGTTGCCATATTTGAAATCTAAATTATGTACAACTATTACGATATAGAAATGAAGCAATAACAAGCATTTTCAATATGAAAATTTAAGATATAATTGTAATAAAGGGTTGAGAGAAAAAGCTAAATAGCCAGCTGAGTAAACTTTGTTTTTTATCACTGCTTGACTAGTATAAGCTGCCAGTTGGTATTGTGTTTTTAGGTTGGTTAGAACATAATCATGTCACACTGTGAAGAACAATCAATCAGAAAAAATATTTTGCTTTCTATATATAAATATTAAATTTGATTTACAATTACAATTGAAATACAGTATTTTAATTTCTTTAAGTTTTTTTTGGGGGAAACTGAAACACTGCTTTTTTTGCCATTTTATGTTGAACTCATGATATATAGCATAAAATGTAATTCTACGGCCTGCAGTTATAACCAGCAGGGAGTCTAACATTTAAATCTTTTAGGTTACTGCCACATTGTTAATATTTAAATATTTTAGGTTACTGCCACATTGTTAATATTTAAATCTTTTAGGTTATTGCCACATCGTTAACATTCAAATCTTTTAGGTTACTGCCCCATTGTTAACATTTAAATCTTTTAGGTTACTACCCCATTGTTAGCATTTAAACCTTTTTAGGTTACTGCCCCATTGTTAACATTTAAATCTTTTAGGTTACTGCCCCATTGTTCTGTTGTTGCCACTAGAACTAGGTGATTAATTTGATTAATCAAAGTAATCTGTCACATACGAGCATCGGTTACTTCGCATAAAATAATCAATTAATTGAAAGCATAATTGAATTGATTAATTTCATGAAAATAATCAACTAATTGAAATCATTATTTCAGATTATTACTGGTTTAATTTTTTTCAACTACCCAAGTAACTTAAATATTGCTGTTATGATTACTCATGATTTTTTTCAATCAATTCATGGTTGTTCAGCTTAATGTATTAGTGTCACTATTCACAAAAATGATCAACTAATCAATTATTACTATTTTCAGCTATTCCAACTATCCAAGGCTTATATAAGAGTAATGGACTTGTTGAATGTAATTGATTCATGAACCCAACAATTGATCAATAAGTAAAACTCACTAATTGGCCAGTTCAGTTTTATTTTGCTAATTGATTTTCGCATTACCTTCATTTATTCGTAGATCATATTAACATTATGTTTTTAACCATGCTAGAAAAAAGAAATTGAAAGTATGTGGCAAAAAAATTGTTACAGTATTACTCTTGTGCATTTTTCTTTTGGAAAACTGTTGCCCTTTATCACATTTTACAACACGCTTTGTTGTTGCATGGAATTCTATTGTTTATTATAACTGTAGTATTAATGCATTTGATTCATGACAGCACAATGAATTGACACTACTCTCTACAGTTCATTCTTTACCATTAAAGAACTGAGAACATATCACATTGGTTTTTTTTTTTTGATCCTCATTGATCTTTTGAAGGCATCTTGCTTGCACATTGTTTTTTTTCTTGATTCTCATTGATCTTTTGAAGGCACCTTGCTTGTGAAGAAGAGAGAGAGGAAGAAGCAAAAATGCTGATAGAAACTGGTGCACGGACAGATATTTTAAACAAGGTATTACATCTTACAGATTTAAGTGAGGCTTTGATATTGTTTTATGATGAGTTTAATGATACTAAGTAAATAAATTGCATTACAATGTCAGCAGGAACTATTAAGTGCCTTGTATGTTAAAATAAACTGTTATCACAGTGGTTAAATTTTCAAGAGTATTTGACTGAGTTTGTGTACATTGTATAGCTATGAAGTAAGTGGCAGTTTTAATCAGTAAACAAATATCAAGATGTTTCATTAGTTTTACAACTTTTTTTAATGTATAAGTTTTATGTTTTACTTTAATTATTTGTTGTATGATATATTGCTTATTCTGAAAGGATATTCTTACATCTCTTCACACACTTACTGGTCCTCCTGAGATTTTGTGCATGCCATAAGTCTTGATCAACCTATCTTCTATCTAAAACACATTATAATGTGAACTATGCCAATATGTGATTTAATCATCATGTGACAAAAGCCCTCCATTAGTAGGAGTGCGACTCATCCATCACGTGCAATAGATCTCCATAAGCACAATGCTGTGGAGAGTAAGGCAGGGATGTCCATATCAGTGTAGTGCAGGTCACCCTTATTATATAATATACCAATTTTCTGGTGACTTGGCCAGCAATATGTCTTCATATGACAGGAAGGGACTTAGTCCCCATTCTTGTTTGTTAGGTGAATAAATTGCACAATAAAACTCATACTAAACTGTATGGTCTGATCATTGCCCTACCCACACTACACCTCATGCCCTAACGATCTGTTGTGTGCAAATGTTCGATTGGTCATGTCTTTTTGTGCTCGCCTCTATGACACATTGGCTCATTGTGTCCTCCCCCATTAATACTTCCACCCAAACGAAGAGTATATATACCCTGCATGAGATGGGTGGAAGTTCTCACGAGTGTTATTCCTTTAGTAAGTCCCCACTATAGGGTGTCACACACCATGGGCTTTCCCATTCAATCACCTTCTCTGAAGAGAGCTTGTCTAAGTTTTCTTAATTGCACTAGCCCCTCCACCACATCAGTGTGGGATTCTAGTTACTGTGTGCAGAGGGGTAAGAATATTGTTTTAGAAGTTCACAATTTTCCTACCTGAAAATTTATCTAGGTTAGATACTTATCTCTGTGCACACCTTCCCATCCTTCCTCCTCACCATAGGTGCATTTTATTTTTGCCTCATCTAAGAAGGAAGCTTATTTCAGAGTGTAAGTGCTTATGAGGATTTACTGTGTATGGAGGATGTGTCACCCTTCTATTGGTGAAGGGCTATTGTTGCATGATGATTACATCATGTACTACCGTAGTTTGAATTATAACGTGTCTTACATGGGAGATAGCTCAAGGCTAGTAGCATGCACAAAATCTGAAAGGCAGATACATATGGAATAGCTACTGTGTGCTCAGAGGTAAGTACCTATCAGAAATGCATTTTCAAGTAAGGAAATGTTAACTTTCTATCTTTTTTTGCATGTCTCAAGTTCAAGTGTAATATTTAACCAACAAAAATTGCTGGTCATATCTATCTATCTATCCAGTGGAATATAACTATCAGCAAGACAACACGTACATGCAACTTACAATACAATGAATCATGTAATTAATATGTTTAAAGTAATGTTAAACATATGAGGAACATATTTCTAAATAAGTTGGGATTTTTTTTAGTCTTCCACTTGATGGCAGGGGTATTGTTTTCACTCTTGTATGTGTGTGAACAGTATAACTCCAAAACATTTCATCTGTGGATTAGTATAGTTAATTGTGCCTGATAGAGACCACATCTATGAATGTTGTGCTAGTCAGTGATGGAGCAATTGATCTTGTGTTTAGCCTAATGCAAGGATTAGCAATTCAAATAACAAAAACAGTGATTCATTTCAAATTTGGTACAAATGTAATATACTGATAGCCATGATGCATGCAAACTCTATTTCAATAATTGGACAGCGAGAGGGTTAAAGAGCTGCAGATTACCAACCCCTGGCCTGATGGGTAATATTGACCATTCCCTTCATGCTGAACTGGTTGACATATTCCTTGAAAGGAAAGAAATTGACCAAATGGAGTGGCCTTCAAGTTTACTGGACTTTTTTTTTTTTACCATGTCCTAATCATAATATTACAAATTCAAAAATGTTTTGAGGAATGTGTTAATTTGTATGAGTCAGTCAGTCACTGGAATTCATAAAACATCTATTGACAGGAGGAGAAGACACCTCTCAGTTTAGCCCCACCAGGCTTAAGAAGAAGGCTTCAAAGTATACGGGTTCCATAAATGTGTTTTCAGCTTGAAAGGTAACTCCAGTGTGTCTTCATAATTATTTTTTGAGATAAAAGTGATTAAACAATGCTGAGAAAGTGGGTATTCTTATCTCTGGTGCTCAGTTGCATTCATTTTTTAAAAACTTTTGAAATGTAATAATAATGTTACCACAGAATTAACTTTATAATAGTAGTTTTTTTATATTTTTACTTTGTCAGCAATATGGTGCTACAAAAAGATAGTAATAGTCTAAGCATAAATCTATTTATCAAATTTAATTGTAGTTAATTATACAAAGAAACTGATACATAAATAAAGGTTTCATATGATTTCTACTGTATGTGTATATTTCCACTCTAGGTTAGTAATTGTGTTTTACTTAACAGTGATAAGTTATAATTTTTGTTTAAAACTTTCTGTTTGTTCCAGTCATGACTTATCTGTTACACCTATCACAACTGACCCTTTACTTCAGTTATACTTTGTCTTTCAATGATCACTGGAAGGAAAATGTTTGTCTTTTCTTGAAGCATATAACCCAGAACCACTTCAAGACCTTGTCAAGTTTCTAAGGCCAGAAAATAGATGACAAGAAAACTTTCATTAATAAGAAACAAATGTATGTATATCTATGAATAGCCTTGTCTGAATACAGGTCTTTCTTTTGTTATTTTCATCTTAATAAAAATATTTAGATTCAACCAGTCATGTCCATGTGTAATTAAAATAATTTATCCATTATACTAATGTTTGATGCACAAACCTGTACACAGAATAATGTATTATGCATGACCAGTAGGAAATGTTGAAATTATCAATGGAAACTTGCATCTAGTCAAAAACGTGTGCAAAATCTAATTGCCATTATAAATGTTTTTGACAGGAAACCTTTTTGTCCTCTGTAGTTTATTAAGAATATTGTGCAAGATGTGTTTTAATATGGCTAACATAAAACAGGTTGGGATGTTCATTTTGTAAACTACAGGACTGGTCAATTATATATTTACCATCATGTGTAAGTATTTTCAAAGTTGTTTCAGCAATGAAAAACTTGGAGTTACCTTGGGGAATTCAATTAAAAAAAACAGGAAAAGAGGGGATATGTTAAAAAAAACATGAAAAACCTTAATTAAACAACAAAAGTAATTTATTCAATTGATAATGCAATATAAATCGAGCAAACCTTACTTTTTTATAGTTGTTGTGGTTGTAAGTTCTTTCAAAATGGGGTTTTGAAGTTTAAATTTCATCATCCAAAATCTTAGAAGCAAATAGTTTCAAATCACTTGTAAATATGGTTATTGGTGTGTTATAATTGTAACAGTTAATCTTGCTTTTTAGCTATGAGTAGTCGCATAACAGGTGGTAGATGCTGCTGACTGTTTGCCTTCCACATGGTTGACAGTTCTAAGTTAAGAATGGCTATGGCTTAATGTAGGCGTATATGACCATTTAACCCATGTGTCACATAAGGTGTCATTCACGTTGAAAATACCAAAAACTTTCAAATTAGTGAAAGTTGTTTTTTCACAGTAATTGAAGATAAAAATTCTTTTCACAAATATTCCAGTCTTTAATTTTTATGTTAGTTTATAAAACTTGTTATGAAGTGAGTTTCATGAAATTGTGTATGGTTTGAAACATTCCATTTTGTATGTAATATTGTCTGTGATTAGTGTACAACTGAAAGTTTTAATGCAAAGGTACTTCTGTTTCCAACCATGGTTAAAAACGTGAGTCTGCTGTATTAATTACTATTTTCCTCCCTCGACATGGATTCCTGTACGTGGTGAGGGGACCTCCCAGGGAAGGTTCTGTATTTTCAGTTCCTTCCTCTGGGATCTAAACATCCACCCATGTGTTTGCCGTGCGTGGCGACCCGTGAAGGGGAGGAGATGATCCTGGTGGTTGAGTGGTGTATGGGGCACTGTAACACACCACTTTGGCCTTGAATACCTGTAGACGGTTGGCCTTGGGGTGGCACCTCCAGGGTCAGTCGGCTGGTCCACTTGGGCTAGGGTCAACTGAGTACCAGTGTTGGGCGTTCTCAACGGGTGTTGAGGACATCATGTTTAATGCTGGTGTTTGGGTATAGTGCTGCAATGTCCTTGTTTCACATTCTAGTGTGTCCCCTTGTAAGACTTCATGGCGGGTGGGCTCAGTGGGCACTGAATCTTTTTTCTTAATTATGGATCCCCCCAATCCAAACAAAAAAAATAGTAAAAACTCTGCTTATTGGTAAACGACCACGCCTAGAAGACTGCACAGCAGTCTCCACCACAAGGTGGCCCTGTACCTCGCTTTCTGATCTTACATTCACTATCTGATAAATCTTTAAGGCAGATGTCCCCCTTTTTTATTCAGAAGGGCTTAGAGGGGCTTGCTGGCTCTCCAAAGTCAGTTAAGAAACTCTGTTCTGGAGACAAATTTGGTCGAAACATCCACAGCTAAGCATAGTGAACTCCTCTTGAATTTAAGGGCCATTAGGGATATACCCATTGAGGTTACTCCCCATGATTCCTTGAATTCATCATGAGGAGTTATTGTTGAGAGGGACTTGAAGTCTATCCCTGAGTCAGAGATCCTTGCTGGTCTCTCCAGTGAAGGAGTTTTAGCTGTTCGACGGATCTCCACTCGTCAGGATGGTATTATTTTCAGTTTTTATTTTCATCACCACGTCCACCGGCCGCTGTTAAGGCAGGTTATTTGAACTGTAAGGCACGGCCCTATATTCCCAACCCTCTCCGATGGTTTCAGTGCCAGTGGTTCGGTCATTCAATGACATCTTGTCGTGGTTCTATGACGTGTGCTCGTTGTGGTGGCAAGGACCAAGATGCCTATGAATATAAACTGGACCCGCACTGTGTTAATTGTTGTGGCTGCCACCCCTCTTACTTTAGGTCTTGCCCTAAGTGGGTGGAGGAGAAA